TTGACCAAAGCGCAGGATAACCTGAGTGTTTAAACGTGTGTCAGCCTCAGACGCTGATCTTCTCCATAAACACAGCATCCTGTCTGACTAACACACTGAAACACACGTTAACGCTCTGAACTCCAAACACCTGGAATCAACCTGGACACGACCTGCTCAAGTGTCCCCGTAGATGTTACTACATATATAGGTCATATAGATGTTTCACTACAGTTTGTTTCCTGAGGTGTCTTCTGTCCACTTTGTGCGAACACAGTCTGCAGGTCAAACATTTTTAAAACATTTTTATAACCGAGTCACATCAGATGAACTAGAACGCAGATTAATATTTCTTTGCTGAATTTGGTCTCATAAAGGCTTTATTTTTAGTAGGATGAAGTGGTTTTAATGAAATAGTATTTTTTTGTTGTTGTTGTTTTTATTGCTTTATGTTTTTGAAGAAGCTGCACGCAGACGAGTCGTTTAAAGACAACTGTTGATCCATCAGTTGTTTTATTTCTAGCTGCCAGTAATGTTGTCATTTTAGTTCCTATTTGTTTTTTTGTTTTTTTTAAAAGATAACTTGTGTTTCAAGGTTTGCGGGGTTGAACTTGTCGGTGCCATTGTTCAAGCTCACAGTGTTGGTTAACATTCTAGAGATTTATATCTGCTGAGGTTTTCCATCCTGTGCAGAAACCTGAACCGGCGATGCTCCTGCAGATGCTTGAAACCTTTCCAGAGGTTCACACAGACTCATACCAGCCATCCAGGAGCTCCTCTCTTTAGTTTAAGGTGTTCTGATAATGACGTGTGTGTGTGAAGCAGGACGGCGGCGTCGAGGGAAATCACCTCCCAGACAATACCTGCAGCGCTCACCTGAACGCTGGAATCTGTCTTTGTAGGAAGTCCACCTGTGCCGAATGCTAATGTTCTGTTCTTCTCTTGTTCCTCCACCTGTCTCCCTCCTCTCCCGTGTTGTTGCAGATGTGACTCAGAAAACCGTTACCTTGGCAACCCTCTCCGAGGAACATGTTATTGTGAGTATCCTGCCGCCGCCACACCTGAGCCTCCGTCACCTCGCTGGCCGCCGCACACACACACACACACACACACACACACACACAC